CACCCTGAGGGCTCCAGCTTCACCCTCAAGCCTTCATGCAGTCAGCCTGCCCTGACGTCAACTGCCCCACACCCTGAGGGCTCCAGCTTCGCCCAGCCCCTCAAGGGCCTTTGGACAGGCCATATGCTACCCCTACAATTGCTAAGTAGATGACATTTGAACTCCTGATTCTTCTGTCTCCTAAGTCCTGAGACTACAGGCATATGTCACCATGCCTATATCTTATCACCAAGTGAAATAAGGTAATTGGATAAAAGACATTTTTTTCCTCACAACTGAAGATAAAAACAATCTATACTTAGCAGCTCAATATGCACAAATAGGAAACGTTTTGTGAAGTTATAAGGATTATTTAGTATTTTCTCCTCTACCCACGAATTGGGGTGAACGTTACTAATGGGTTAAAAAGAAGGTTACCAAAGCCCTTTATTCCAGCCCAGTTCCTGCCTAAGGCTACTGAGCAACAATTCATGGCCCAGTTTATCCAGAAGAGTTCTCAGAGCCCACAACCTTTGGCTCTGACCAAGCAAACGAAACAAAGAACATCATCAGGACATGCTAGGATCCTTATCTGCCTGCAGGACAGAGTGGGGAAGGTTCTAGGCGACTCCCCTGCCCTGCATTGTCAGCTCTGTGCAGAGATGGCTCTCAGTGGGCCATTTCTAACCTTGAATGGTAAAGCACTACAATGAACTTCAAGTCACACAGAAACACAAAAAGTTTTCCTCTTTCATCTCATCAGCAAAGAAAAGAAACCTGGGGTGAGAGTGGGTGGCAATTGGGTTGAGAATCCACCGAGCCCTACCTTTTACCTTCTCTGCTGTTGCTCAGTTTCAATCTAGGTATTCACCACCCTGACTTGCCCTGAGAGACCATCCCAATCTGAGGAAGAAATGGCTCCTTTTCTGCTGCTTCTGCCTCAGCAGCCTCAGACATGAAAGTCCTACAGAGGGGGTTTCCATCTCAGGGACCAGACAAAGGGGGAGGACAAGGTCAGCAGAGGTTTGGCAAGGAGGCTGGGACACTTTCAACGTGTCCAACCTTTTCCACTTCCCACCAGACATCTGGCCTGGTCTCCCACTCTCCCCAATGAGGTATTCGGTGTAACATTAGCAAACCACATGTGAACACACTCATCATTTCTTTAAAACCCTCAGAAAAGATGCCCAAGGGTGTACCGCCCACCCTGCCTCTTTAGCTGGCCTCTGAACACATTTCCAGGCCAGTCTTCATCCCATCTCCTCCTACCTTCTCACACTGTTTAGTTTTGGAAACAAAGTCTCACTGGGTAGTCCAGACTCAACCTTCCTGAGTCTACCTCCTAGTCCTGGGATTATAGGTAACACCATCAACCTTCCTGACTCCGCCTCCTAGTCCTGGGATAGTAAGGGACACCATCAACCTTCCTGACTCTGCCTCCTAGTCCTGGGATTGTAGGTGACACCATCAACCTTCCTGACTCTGCCTCCTAGTCCTGGGATTGTAGGTGACACCATCAACCTTCCTGACTCTGCCTCCTAGTCCTGGGATTGTAGGTGCCAGCAGGCATTGGGTCTCAGCCTTCTCTCTAATAAAGCCTCCTCCTGGAAGACTGAGCTGTAAGGCAGGTATGTGCCTTCTAATTTCCTGTCCCACACAGCCTGGCACCTCAACTCCTCCTCGGGGAACCCTACCCATGGGGTCCCCAGTAGTATCTTCACCACTTTTGTCTTCAGTTTTTCTTTTCTGACCGGTGTTCACTGGTGTTTCCCCTCTACCTGGAACACCCCGGATGTAAGCAGGATAGAATTGAGTCCCATGCCACCCCTAGGCTACATGCATTTTAGAAACATCTTTAGTACAAGTCCAGGAATAAGGATTAGGAGGGTCCAGAGAGTTAACCCTAGAACACTCTACTCCTAAGGAAAGTGGGGGACACCAGAGACTGTTCTGTATCATGTTAGTGACACAGAAACACGGGGAGGGGGGACTTTCAACCTAATTTGAAGTCCAGACTCTTCCCTTTCTGTGTGTGGGAGGCGTTTTCTGCAGGAGGCAAGGGTAGAAGAGAACCCTGGCACCCTTGCCCTACCCTGACCCTGTTCCACTGGAAAGCAGCTCTGTTTGTCTTAGACACAGACCAGGGCACTTTATCCACAGAGAGCTTGTGGGTTAATGGTCAACAGTCGGCGCCTGGATTATCAAGATCGAGCAAAAGCTAAGATTGTCATCCCCACAAAAAGGGCAACAAGAAAAACTGACCAAACAGTACCTAGAGGCCAGGAGGCGAGCTAGACAGGGAATGCTGAGTGTGCTTGGGGCTCCGGGGTCACTGGCTAACGAAGCGTGTTCTGTTTTACCTCCACTCTGCTGGAAGACTACAGCATCCCAGTTACCTGAAACACGGAGGTGTGTTATACAAAGAGTTGTTGCCAGCCTGCACTTTGTATTCAAGGACTGAAGGACACTCTCTGAGGGCGAACCCCAGCAGGTCATCCCGGACGATCACCACCGTCACCCCAGCAGAGCCAACATTCTTTTGAGCACCAGCAAAAATCACACCAAACTTTAAAAAAAAGAGAGAGAGAAAGAAACGGGCTATTTTTGAGGGAATTTGTGGCCACCTGTGAGCTCCTCTCTCAACACACTTTTTTAAAGTCACATGTTTAATTCTGGCCTAGGAATACACCCTTGTAGAAATCTCTACCCAAAATAAGTCAGCACTTGGGAGTGTGGAGACCCAAGGCCTGGCCTTTGCCAGGAAGAGACTTCCCACACCCAGCACTGTGAAGTCCCGGGACGTCCATGCTCTCACAACCCTTGTTTACTTCAAACCAGTCTTTAGGACAGGCCCTCTCAGGACTGGGATGGCTCAGTAGTTAACAGCCCTTGCTGCTCTTACACAGGACCCGGGTTTGTTTTCTTACACCCCACATGTGGCTCACAACCATCTGCAACTCCAGTTCCAGGGGATTTGACACCTGATTCTGACCTCTGAGGGTTCCAGTAACACATATGGTACACAAAAATACATATGAAGGCAAAATACTAATGCACATATAAAAAGAAATAAATAATCTTAAAAAATTGTTTTTAACACTGGGCAGTGGCAGCACATGCCTTTAATCCCAGCACTCAGGAGGCAAAAGCAGGTCAATCTCTGTGAGTTCGAGGCCAGCCTGGTCTACAGAGAGAGTTCCAGGACAGGCTCCAAAGAGCTTTCTGTCTCAAAGGAAAAAAAATGTTTTAACTAAATATCCAGGCTTGGTGGTACACATCTGTAATCCTAGCAGTTGGGAGATGGAGACGGAAGGTTCAGGAGTTCAAAGTCACCCTTGCTTCACAGTGAGTTAAAATCTAGCCTGGAATGCAGGCCCTCTGGACTGAGGTAAGGTACACGAGACAGCAGGCTCGCCATGCATCAAGCCTGGGCTTCATACTCAACACTGCAAAACAATAAAAAGAAAATGGGACCTCTAGATCTTTTGTAACCCAAATGAAATACTATCGTTTAATCTAGAAAATGTATTTGTACAACGGTTAATATTTTCATAATTTTAAATGTCAAAAATTTTAGTTAAATATTTTTAATTAAATATTGAAATGGTTAAAATATGAATTTTTTAAAATCAGTGGGCTGCAGAGATGGCTCAGTGGTTTAGAGTACTTCTTGCTTTTGCAGAAGACCTGGGTTCAATTCCCGGGACTCACACTGTGTTTGACAACCATCTCTAACTCTAAATTCAGGAGAGCCAATGCCCACTTCTGACCTCTGCCAGCACCAGACACACATCTGATGCACACACTTGCTAGTAATTAATACAAACTTCCCACTTAGAGACAGTCGGAAGCTGCCATGAAGGGGGCTGCCGCAACACAGCCTGGGTGGGTGAGACACACCAATAGCTCATGGTTCTCGAGGATGTTTTGTTGTACAAGATACAGGTTCTATGTCACCCCAGGAAATCAAGTGCAATTGTAGTACAAGGGAGAGAGACAGGAGGATTTCAAGTTTGAGGTCAGGCTGGGTTGAGCTATTCAGTGATACCCTTCTTTAAAAACATAAAGTGTGGCTATAAGCCAAATATTGTAGATCTATATAACAGAACAGTCGTCTAAAACTGAACTTCTGATATATGCACCAGCATGAACCTTGAAGACATTAGTGAATTAAGCCTAGCACTAAAGAACAAATGTCACGATCCCATTTACAGAAGGTCCCTTGGGTACAAATTCATGAAGTTGGATAGTGGTTGGCAAAGATCGGGGGTGTGGTCTTTAGCCAGGTACAAAGTTTCAGTACAAAATCAGAGAATTCTTGAGGTTGGACAGAGGTGAGGGCTACACAGCAAAGTTAATGTGCTTAATGCCACTGAGTTATGCACCTAAAAGTGGTCAAAATGGGGCCAGTAAAGTGGTCCAGCAGGTAAGGAACCTGCCAAGCACAGGCACACCATGGCAAGTGTGCATCCACACACATACAATAATAATAGGTAATTATATGTGTGTATGTACATATAATGTATATATGTACGTATACCATACACACTTTAAAAAAACTAACAAATATAACGACAACAAAAATACAGGGTCTCACCGTACACCTTTGGCTGGTCTGGAACTCAAAATGTAAACCAGGCTACCATTAAACTCAGGAATTCACCTGCCTCTGCCTCCTGAATGCCAGGATTAAAGGTTTGTGCCACCACACTTAGACTTAATCTTGTTGTTGTTTCAAGACAGGGTTTCTCTGTGTAGCATTGGCTTTCCTAGAACTCACTATGTAGATCAGGTTCACCTTGAACTCAGAGATCCACCTGCCTCAGTCTCCTGAGAGCGGGGATTAAAGGCATGTGCCACCACCATCACCTGGCTAGCTTAAATATTTTTTTAAAACATGACTAAAATAATAAATTTATATTTTATCACATTAAAAAAGAGGCATAGTTGGGCTTGGTGACCCCACCATAGGAAAGAGGATCTCTAAATTCAAGCTCTAAGTTCAAGGCCATCCTGGTCTACACAATGAATTCCAGGAAAACCAGGGCTATATAGAGACTCCGTCTCAAAAACAATAACAAAAAAAGCCCCAAAACAAATAATAATAATAAAAAGAATGAGGATGGGGGAGGAAGAAGAACTGTTATGGCTCTTTTTAGAATTTGTCCAGCAGGACTTCTGACCTTCATCTGAAACACCATCACCACTACCACAAAAAAGGGGGCGGAGGGACAAGAAGATGGCTCAGCTGGTAAAGGTACTTCCTACACAAGCCTGGCAACCTGAATGCCACACCTGGAACCACATACAGGTGGACCAAGAGCAGTGACTCCATGAAGTTGCCCTCTGACCTCTGTACATGTATCTTTCTCCCTTCACTGAAGCTCACACATACACAAACTTGTGCATATGTACGCGAGTGCACACACACACACACACCAAATAATAAATTTTTAAACATTATTTTAAAGGCAGACTACCAATTGGCTAGCTTGGATGCTGCTTTTAAATTCTTTACAGATCGCTCTTACGACATGTTCCTGGTATAATGCCCTACCCCTCCCCTGCCCAGCCTTGGCAGATCACTCATAAAGTCTAAGGATGCTGTTGGTGAACTTTCCGAGTTAGGGCTAACAAAAGGCATGGGGTGTTTTTCACCGTCCCCAGGGCATGGTAACTTGCTCTTGACTTTGGAGTGAACATGCCACTCCCAGCATCCTTGCCAACAAGTTTTCAAGGACCACTGCCCCCCAGCCTCCCAGTTTTTTGAGTCAGGGTTTCTCTGTGTTACAGCCCTAGCTGGAACTCACGTTGTAGATGGGACTAGCCTTGAACTCACAGAGACTCACCTGCCTCTGCCTCCTGAGTGCTGGGATTAAAGGCATGCATGAGCCACCACGCCCAGCTCAACAGACACTCTTAAAAAGGCAGGCAAGTTCCTCAAGGCCTGACTTGTAGGCCGTGAGCAACCATTTCCACAGTCTTAGACGTTCAGACAGACAGTGATGTAACAGCAGCTGTCACCCTGCTCACCAATGTCTACCTACGCTGGCTTCAGGGGCTCTGCCAGCCCCAGACTCCCCAGGGTCTTTTCTACGGGCATACATATCAAAACACTTCAAAGAAACATTTACTGGTTCCCTGACCCAACCTCCCACACTCTACCTTGGAAACGTCCACTGGCCTGGATAAGAAGTTTGAGGACATGTCGCAGACCAGCACGGCTCCCTTGACGTCAGGTATGAAGTCGAACTCCACCCCGTGCACAGTCTCGTTTGCACAGAAGTACACGTAGGAGGCGTCCGGGTTGAGGTTCCAGGTGCTTGGGTCTGGAATTTCTGACATAGAGGGCAAATTTGAGGCTCTGCATACTTCCTTCCGTTCTCCATAGTGGGTGACGCCACCCGGGGGACTGGTAGTTTCCGGAGGGGATTAGTGACACCTTGGCGAGTATGAGCACCTGTCCGCTCCTGCCATCATCACCACTAACAGCGGAGGATGAGCTGTCATACTCTCTGAATTTACTCAGTACAAAGAGCATTCAAACGCAGTCCAGAGGGACTGAGCGTAATACCACATGTGGGAGGCCAAGGCAGAAGGACTGCTCTGAGTTCAAGGCCAGCCTGGGCTACCTCAAGACCAAGTCGGACTGGAGAGATGGCTCAGCCCTTAAAAGGTTAGGCTCACAACCAAAAATAGAAGACTACCTACCAGGTCATCCAGGGCTACATAGACGCTGTGTCAAAAAACCCCAAACAAATGAACCAACAAGGAGATGGGGTCCTGGGTGCTCATCTGAAAGCTTTCCTGTCATCAGCTACCCATCTACCCTCTACCTGTTGGCCTACTAGCTTCTTCTCAGGACCCCAGTGCTGACCCACTCTGAGCCTGTGTGGTTCCAGCAAAGCCAATCAAGCCTGCTCCCCCGGGGTAAAATGTGACTCGGGCAGAGTTAGTGACTAAGTCACAGCAGGGCACGTGACGCTATTATTGGGATGCTCCAGCAAGGGCCATGGTGAGCCGGAGAGCGGCTGCGACCATCTTCCCAGACAAGGGGTTCTTTTCCGGACTACAGTCTACTAGAAAGGAGATAAGGAGCGACTAGGACATGGGCAGCAGCACTGGGGCCCCTGCTGTCCCCACACCAAATACCAACCTGGCTTAGCAGGACTCTCATCATTCTACAGCAGGTGGACCCCACAGCTACACAATCTAAATGAGCTCGCAGGCCACTGAGGGGAGGACGGTAGCAAAAGGACAGCAAAGGGAATGGCCGCCACCCGCTTACCACCCAGCTCACCTCCCAGAACTCACTTGTGTAACTTCCGAGTTTAGGGTGGACGACATTCACAGTCCCAAACTTCTTGGCTTCTTCTGCAGCCTTAGCTGACCAAGCTCCCGTCACCACATAGTCAGCACACCTTCCGGCTTTCAGGCCAATCAGATTTAAGGGGACAGCGCTGAACTGGCCAGACCCACCTCCTTGTACAAAGATCACCTTGTAGTTGTTGGGAACATCTCTGGACATAAAAACGAGTGCAGTAAATACAGAAGCTCACACACATCAAGGGTAGAGAATGAGGGGTGCTATACCAAGTGTATACTTTTGGTCTCACTCTGCAGAGGCTGGGAAGATGGCTGGCTCAGTGCTAAGAGTGTGCACTGCCCTTACAGAGGACTTGGGTTTGGGACCCAACACCCACATCAGGCAGCTCGCAACTGCCTATAACTCTAGCTCCAGAGTATCTGATGTCCTCTTCTGGCCTCTGTGAACAAACACACACACACACACACACACACACACACACACACACACACACGACATATACCTTAAATGAAATACAGTCTCGCCATCACTCTCTGTTACCCAATTTAGTCATTTTTTTTTTACTAGTTTCTTTGACATTTATTGGTGACAATAGTAGAAACCTATGGTGACTTCTTCCTTTTCTTAGTAACGCCCTGCTTTCTTTTCGGGAACCATACTTTTCTGCTTCTCAACCCTCAGATTTCAACTTTGGCCACCCTGACCCAGAAATGAGCAGTGAACAAAACTGCCCATGGGATCTGGCTGAGATCCTTGCTAAAATCACAGAGAGGTGCTAATCTTGCAAACACCGGTGGCCTCCTGGCAACGCTGGCACACAGGTGAGGAGGGCCTTCTTGGGAAGATTCTCCTGGTGACAGTAGGGCTCCTATGTCCTCCTTTGGCTACACAAGGCAGACATTCCTATTTTTGCTTAAGTCAGTGAATCAGCTCCCTCACCTGTAAACGTACTGAACCAGGCATCACTGAGAGGTGTCTGTCTTTGGCAACTCTAGATCTAGCTGAGTAAGCAAAAACCCAAACACATGTCAGGACTAAGTACAAAATGCTTTGACTTCAGGATGGAAAAGATGATCAGACTGCAGACATCACAAGCTTTATAACAGTCAGAGCTTAGGAATAAGTGGTCAAAGGACAGAATTCCAGCATCAGCACAAAACAGAAGGGACCAGCAAGGTGGCAGGAAGGTGGACAACAGGTTTTGTGTAAGTCTTGTACCTAGCCTAGTACAGGTACTAATAGTAGTCAGTTCGATAAGCTGTCAAATAGCCAAGTTGACACAAGCTAGCATCATCAGAAAGGAGGGAGCCTCAGTTGAGAAAATGCCTCCTAAGATCAGGCTGTAGGCAAGCCTGTAAGGCATTTTCTTAATTAGTGATTGGTGTAGGAGAGCCCAGTCCACTGTGGGTGATGCTATCCCTGGGCGGGTGGTTCTAGGTTCCAGAGAAAAGGTTGGGCAAACCATGGAGATCAAGCCAGTAAACAGCACTCCTCCATGGTCTCTGCATCAGCTCCTGCCCTATGGGCGCCTTTCCTGTCTTCCTTCAAAGGACTACAATGTGAAAGTGTAAGCCAAATAAACTCTTTCCTCCCCACATTGATTCCTGATCACGGTGTCCATTGCATCAATATTAACTCTATGACAGCGGTGCTAGGCCGTACTAAGCATGATGCTACTAGCACCCAGATGCGCTGGCAGAAGCCAGGGCTCCAGGCTTATGTTATCCACATGCACGGGCACGGGACAGAAACGTACTTAGGATAGACCTGAGTTAAACGAGGGTTCCAGTCAGAAGAGGCTCTTAGCCATGTGGCCAGTGCTAAGGTTCTAAATATTCCCTCCATCAAGGACAGGTTTGTGAATGTGACGCAGAAAACAGTGAGGCAGACAGGAGTGGGACCCACCAAGCACACGATCAGGCACACACACACACACAAAATAAATATTCTTTAAAAAAAAAATACTTGTAAAAACTTACAGTAATTCCCTCACAAGATTCTCTGTGTTGTTAATAATCTTGGCAAAATCTGATGACCTGTGACTCATTTCTGTGGAAGCAAAGAAACGACAAAGTACAATACCAAACAAATAAGCTTGTGAAATCTATGGAAAAATAAGAACGCTCTGAGTTCAGACGGTGGGCACAGGTACACTTAATGGAAGGACAATTCACACTAATACAAAGGCTGAACATTTCAGTCCTGAAGTCACACAGTGCAGTGATGGTTCAAGTGCCACACTAGCTGATTCCTTAGGTTCTTATCAGACCCTGCTCTATCCCTTTCTCCCAAACTAGAGACACAGACAACCAGCCCTGAAGTCCCTTCACACAGTGTAGCCCACAGAAACGGCAAGGAAAATAAACAAACAAATAAGTGAAAAGCATAGAGCTTGGAGGCTCTCTTCCTAAACAACACAGGAGTGAAAGTTTAATAAAGAAATTATTAATGAGCAAGATAGTCACAGAGGCTTGTGAACGTTTTAACTCCTACAAGTTCTTATTTAAGTATAATGAACGCTTTATGTTGAATGTGAAGCAATAGTACAGACCGTTGGTAGCATCCTTACACAAATGTATAGTATCTGCTGATCTCACAGCTTATGACCAATAACAACCAATTAAAAACCAGGGAGCTGCTGGGTGGTAGTGGAGCAAGTCTTTAATCCCAGCACTCAGGAGGCAGAGACAGGCGGATCTCTGTGAGTTCGAGGCCAGCCTGGTCTATAAGAGCTAATTCCAGGACAGGCTCCAAAGCTACAGAGAAACCCTGTCTCAAAAAAACCAAAAACTTCTCACCAGCACTTGAGATATGTTCAGTCTGAACTCCAGCAAACATGTGACCCAGGACATAAAAGATAAATGTATTCATAACAGCATATGGGAAGATCATTCAGAGTAACGCCTGGGCTTGCAGAATTTTTGTTCCCTTTTAAGCTGGGATGGTAACAGGAGCCAAAAGTAAATCTTACCAAGAACACTGATGCCAAGTCCTTTGTAGTCTAGTAGCTGCTTCTGTATCTCTAACAACACCTAGAGAGAGAGAAAGAAGATTGCAACATGCTGTATAAACTCTCCCTCCTCAGACACCTGGGAGGTGGGGGCATCAGCGAAGCAGAAGCCCAGAAGGTGCCCAGGCTTCTGTTCTCACCCACAGCCAAGCCCCTTCCCTCATCTCCACAGAGCCTCACCAACATAGCTTGCACAAGTGGGACCTGAAATTAGGCAACATCTGATTCCAGAGACCGCGTCCCCTACAAATCTCATTTTAAAGCTCTTTTAATAAACATATAAAATTCTCAGTTCAGGAGCTCACAGGAACAAAAACCAGTTGTGTCCAAACCACACAGGCAGGCCAGGTTCTCACGGGGAGGGGTGGTGCTAGCTAAAGTCGTAGATTCTGATAGGCAGCATGTGCAAGAACCTGCTATGAACTAAAATAAACTTCAGGAGCTGGGGCTATACTACATGGGGCTCAATGACAGAGCTGTTGCCTAGCACACAGGGAGCCCTGGGTTTAATTTGCGGCAAAGCTGGGGGGAGGTAGAGGAAAGGAGAAGGAGGAGAAAAGAGAAATTATATCCGGACCAGGCTGAAAAGATTTTCTCTCAGTTGTGGGCTACATCTTGACTTTGAATACTATTATTCCATTCTGATAAGGCAGCCCTTGAAAGGTCATGGGGATTTATTGATGTGACATTAATTGGGAAACCCATCATTCACAAAAATGTCTCTTATTAAATCAAATAAGCAATATCAATTCCCCTATAATGAAATGGAGAACAGAAGCTAGGGGAGCAGCTCAGTGGTATAATGTGTTGGGCATGCTGGGGGGCCCTGGAGTCAATCCCCAGCACCAAAAGAAAGGAAATCAGGAGATGGGAAGGAAAGGAAAAATGGAATCAGAAGCGGGGGAGGAAGGATGAAGAAAAAGAAAATATGTTCTCTTCATCCAAAACAGGAAATTTAAAAACCAAGTATTAAACTATGAAAGAGAATCTCAGTTTGCTTAAATAAGGTTGTCAATATGTTGAATGTTGCTGAGACAAGAGATGGATCCTTGCACGTGAATAAAGGATGTCCATAATAAAGAAAGGCTCAGTCCAGGTGTGGTGGTACGTCTTTAATCCCAGCGCACAGGAGGCAGAGGCGGGTGGATCTCAGTGAGTTCAAAGCCAGCCTGATCTACAGAGTGAGTTCCAGGATGGCTAGAGCTCTGTAAAGAGATTCTGTTTCAAAAAAAAAAAAAAAAAAAAAAAACAAGGAGACAAACAAATAAACAAACAAAAATAAGCAAAATAAGTGCTCTAAAATTAAACACAAAGTGCAAAAGACCCTGTGAAGAAGAATCCAAATGGGAGATGGTTAAGACATTAGCTAAGACCCAGTGTAGTGGAGCAAGCCTTTAATCCCAGCAACCAGAAGCAAGCAGATCTCTGTGAGTTCGAAGCCAGCCTGGTCTAAATTATTAGCTACAGGTCAGCCATGGTTCTACATTGAAATCTTGTCTCAAACAAACAAAAGGGGAAACTAGCTAAGAATTGGGCTAGATAAAAGTTCTGTAATCCTAATTAGTGGAAGACTGAAGGTCGAAACCCCACACTGGTAATGTAGCTTAAAGAAAATAAGGTACCAAGACATCACGTAAATTATATGTTGAAATATTATACACATCTATAAAACTATCACACCAGTTAAAAAAAATTGGTGAATATACATAGTAAAAGAAACATTAGCCTGCAACAGAATCTTGGTTTATGTGTGGACTGGGGACCAAAAAGGACTTGCCTTTGCAATTGACAGGCAGGAGCTCTACCAGATCCCTTTACCAACCACCTGGAACCATCCTTGAACTTTTTTTTTTTTTTTTAAGATTTACTTCATTGTTCATTTATTTGTGTGTGTACCCTCCGAAGCCAGAAGGCATCCAATACCCAGGAGCTGGAGTTACAAGTGGCTGTGAACCAATCAAAGCAGGTGCTGGGAACCAGACTTGGGTTCTCCACTCTTGCCTCCATCTCTCCAGCCCTGTTTTTTTTTTTCCTACATACATTTCTTGAGAAACACATCTACATGTTTATAACCAGGACTGAAGAGATGGCTCAGCTGTTAAGAACACAAACTGCTCTTCCAGGAAACTGGAGTTTGATCCCCAATACTCTTATCAGGTGGCTCACAACTGCCTTTAACTCTTCTGGCTTCCACAGGCCTTAACTCACATGAACATACAACACAGAGACAAACATGCATACGCATGTGAACATACCACACAGAGACACACATGCATATTCATAATTTTAAAAAATAAAAGCAAGTTCCAAGACAGCCAGGACTATTACACAGAGAAACCCTGCCTCGGAAAAAAAAAAATTATAACAAAAATCACCATTGTTTTTCTTCTAGCCAAAAGCTATACCACTGAGCATCTCTCCAGCCTCGCATACAGAAGTTTATAAATTTCATTTTTCTTTACAAGTGACAGTCACAATTTTTCTGAAAGCTTCTCTAATCTTGATAACTCAACTAAACCAAGAAAATTCCTAAATTGAAGTTAATAGCACGAACTGCAATCCCCATGTGCTGACTAGCTTTATGACAACCAGACATGAGCTAGAGTTATATGAAAAGAGGGAGCCTCAGCTGAGAAATGTCCTCTAGAAGATTAAGGGGCTGGCAAGCTTGTAGGGCGTTTTCTTAATCAGTGATTGATGGGGGAGGGTCCAGCCCATTATGGGTGGGGCCACCCCTGAGCTGATGGTCCTGGGTTCAGAAAGGCTGAGAAAATCGTGGAGAGTAAGCCAATAAGCAGCACCCCTCCAGAGCCTCTATATCAGTTCCTGTCCTCACTACTTTTAATAGTGAACAGTTATATGTAACTGTGAGTGAAATAAACCTTTTCCTCCACAAGTTGCTTTTGGTCATGGTGTTTCATCACAGCCATAGTAACCGTAACTAAGACACCCTCTCTTGGGAGGTGGAGGCAGGAAGACCACCAGCCCTGCAGAACAAAGTAAATTCTGGGCTAGCTTGTACTGAGACATTTGCCTTACCATACCCGGCAAAACAAAAACAAACGAACAGCCCATTTCAAAAGAGGGGCTGGGGAGGAGGGGGTCCCCTGCAGATATTCCCACAGTTCTAGCAAACAACGCCACGGAATGCAATGACCGCAGAATAAGCCCTGTTCTCAGCTTGTGCGGTTGTCCCCACAAAACTAAGGCATCCTTTCCCCTCTCACACAGCAGGATCCTGTTCCTACCCCCACAGAGGCCGCGGTGTCCCAGGGAGATCGCCAGGATTCAACAATACAGAATTGTACAATCCTTGGCCATGCCAGAGCGCTGTGGCAACCGGTTATCAGATAGCAGTTTCGGCAGCTGGTTCATGGGCTCCAAGCCATGAGAGGCATCTCATTCCGAACAGCTGGGGTGCGAGAGGAACCCGCGCGGAACGGGATGGCACCGGGATCAAGCAAATGGAACTTGGCCAAACAACCCAAAGCCTTTCAGAGTCAGAACTCCGGACGCACTGAGGGTACAAGTGGGTTTCCAGGAGAAAGCCTTGGGGGCTGAGCGCGTTCGATGTGGGTGAGGAGGGAAAAGCCGGCAGCTTTCCAGTTTTGAGGACTGCATTCCCAGCGCCAAGAGCTTAGCCTGCCACCTCGGAGACAGACGTGCTCGACCCTGGCCCGCCCGCCACCGACCATTCTTTCACCCACCCACGCGCGCCCGTGCACGCCGGAGCCGGCGCGGCCACACCGCGGGGAGGTCCAGCCTGTGTCCACACCGGTCTCTCTGCACAGGAGCGCACTTCGGGGTTAGCAGCTGCATCTCGATGGCGGCATCCCGGCGCCTCGCACACCGATGTGTGTATCTCGACAGCTGCATCCCAACGCCCTGCATCCCGATGCCCGCGCTCCGACCGAACCGCGGCCATCTTACCGAGTGTGGCAGCTTGGCAGGCCCGGGCCCAAAGTTAACCACTTGCTTGGAGGCGTCCATGGTGCTGAGGCGACAGCGGGGGAAGTAGCTACAGCAGAGACCACGCGAACTGCCCGCGTCTCCGGATGCTGAGGCAAGGCGGGCCCCAGCCCGCAGAATCGGCTCCCCATTGGTCTTCTGTGTCAGGCCGCGTACTGATTGGCTCACTCCCAGAAGCTCGTATCCCCATTGGCTGAGCTCACCATCCGAGCCTGCGACCAGTTGCTCCTCCTGTAGTTTAGAATTTCACCCGGCCTTGGCGGTCAACGCAAGAGAGCAGGGGATTGCACCAGCCACCGGCGTGGCGGGGAGCCTACTGCGCGCCTCTGGGCGCTGTGTCCCCGGTCCTGGCCTCTGGCCAACTGCGAGATGGTGCCCAAGTCCATTGCTCCTGCTCCATTTGGCGTTGGGCTAGGCTCTGCTGCAATTTGCTCCAGGGGCCAGTCCGTATTAACTCACCAGCAGACTTTCCAAAACCCATACAAACACTCCGGTGTAGACTGGGCACTCACAGAAGAACGTGCAGGGTGAAGAAGGACCTAGAAGAGTGAGACCTTAAGATTGTGACCCGATACACCTGATAATCACAGCACTTGGAAGGCTGAAGCAGGAGAATAGTTACTTGGAGGCCAGCCAGGGATTACACAGAGGGACCCTGTCCCAAAACTAACCTAAAACAAAAAGGCTTTGTGCTTGCACATGGACTCTAACGCACTGCACCATGAAAGGACAGAAGTGGCTAAGAACTTTGGGGGGCGATCCTCGCTCCTCCCGCAGCTACTCCTCCCTCCTCCAGGATAGCCTCTTTCAAGTTGCTGACTCTCGATTCTCTCTCATTTCTTTCATGAACCGAGAAGCAAGAACCTGAATCTTGGCTCTCTCTTTCACTGGACCGCCTCAGCTGTGAGGAGGTATTAACAGGAGCATAAAAAACAAGCTGAATTCAGTCCGGACCAGAGGAATGTGGCCCTGAGCCGAGCTGGGCATGTGGCCAAATCTGTTTATACTTTTCCACACAAGTTCTCGTTCAAAAGAGTTGCTCTGGAGGCTCATGTGAGAATCTGGAACAAGAAGGCCCTTCTACGCAAGGGCAATTCCTTTGAAGTTCAGAACATTTCTAAAGCGAATTATTTTTTTTTCTACTTTGCAGTTTAACCCAGATTCCTTTACTATAAAAACATTTTCCCAAGTTCATCATCATGCAATGGATGCCAGGAGTAGGCACAAGTGCCTACTGAGCATTAATAACCAACCACAGCATCTATGACCTCAACTCTTTCTTTGGGAATTTGGACTCTGTTTTCTGTAGTCTCTTGAAGGGATGTGGCTGAGAACAGAAACACTACTTTGGGTAAAGAAAAAAGTTTTAGGAAACACTGAATAGACTAATGTCACCGCCTACTTCGGCACCTTAATTTAGAAAAACTGCACAATTGGAACTGGACATGGTTCTCATGCCTTTAATCTCAGCACTCTGGGGATAGAGGTAGGCTGATCTTGAGTTCAAGGCCAGCCTGGTTTACAGAGCAAGTTCCAGAACACAACAGCCAAGGCTATACAGAGAAATCCTGTCTCAAAAAAAACCAAAACAGCAAACAAAAACAAAGAAAGAAAATTGCATAACTGAATAGTTTCAGTCCCAGCCCTTAAACTCAGATAAGAGTTTAACAAACACACTGTTTTATGTAATACAGTCGTTTTAGACAACAACCACACACATCACACACACACACACACACACACACACACACACTCCTGCAGTTACTCCGCTAGAGCACTGTTTGTCTTTGGTCTTCTTGGAACTCTAAACACAAATCCCAAAGAGTGAATAGAGATGAGGCAAAATAGAATGACAGGAAAAATTAAAAGTCCTCAACACTTGGGTACGTTGAATGAGCACCAGGAAACTCAGTACAGAGCTGGAGCGATGGCTCAGTGATTGATGGCTCTTCCCGTGACCCTCTGTTCAATTCCCAGCCACCCCCATGATGATCCATAACCATCTCTTAACTCCAGTCTCAGGAGACCTGACACCTGATACCCACCTCTGACCTTCATGCGAACAAAACACCTATATGCAAAAAAATAAAAAATTCAACACAACTGAGAAGCCAAAATTGCCAACAGAGATAATGTGTGTTTTCCTAAAGATACCCCAAATAAACATGCTTAAAGCAAACAAGTAGGGCTGGAGATAAGCTCAACCCTGGTTTTAAGTCTCAGCATGAGCTTGCTTAGAGACAGAATGTTTGTCAACAAGGCCATCGAGATGGCTCAGTGGGTAAAAGAGCTAGCCACCAAACTTAGCCATGACCTGAACCATGGCAAGTGTGTGCCTCCCTACAAAATAAGTAAACAAATATGTAAAAGCAGAATGTGTGTGACCCTCTCAACCCTAAATGTCAACCATGCACCTCACAAAACCACCTCACAACTCCATTGTCCAAAGGAACTTCTTTAAGAGAAATAAGTAAATTAGCTCATATATTTACTTAATTTCTAATGAAAATTGTAAGCTGTCCTTAATCTTTAAACTCTTGTAAATTACAGCCTGTGGCCATGTAATTTAAAGCCACAGGGTCACACATTCAGTCATTGCAAAGACACCCAAGTGTGACACCCATGTCTTTAGTGTGTATTACCCTCCTCAAATGTGTCTCTGTCTAAATATTTAATGAACTCACTCGCCGCTTCACGCTGACTTGTCCTGAAATTGTTTTCTGCTGCACCGTCAGCGATCTGGCTTTGTCTGAGCAGAGGTCACTAAGGGAGAGGGGATTCTACAGGCTGCTGGTGCAATGCTGGGTTTGTCTCACTCCCCACTGACAGGAGAAAGGGACCACACATTCATTTTGCCCTCTCTCCCCAGGAAACACGACTGTTATCTCTTCCATCCAATTCTCTATGTCTGTTCGTCTCTTAGTTTCCGATCACTCCTGGGCCCCCTATGTGACACAGGTGCTTATCATTCCACATGCTAAGACATGGCACATGCTAAGACATGCCGTGTAGTCATTCCTCCCTGGGGGCCTGCAGTTTCCAGTACCATGTGTCATGGAAACTGATCACATGCATGCTCTGCCTTGGACCACCACTGGTCTGTGCTTCTTCCTTCCAACCCAGGAAAATCTCTCTCAGTCTCCCAATACACACATGTCTTAAAATTTAAATGCCTTCCTGTACAACTTGAATCTCTATTTTGTTATAAATAAAGTTTGTCTCTTTCTATGCTTCCTTAAGATCTATCCACCACCCTTAGGGCAGAGGAATAGAGCCACAAATACAGGCCTCTAGGAACCACCCAGAAGCAAGAATGAGAGGATTGTGGTAAACTGAGCATATATGCCTGAACCAGGCTTTTTCTTTTAGGCCACTAACCAGCTCCCAAATCATGACACAGAGACTTAGTATTAGTTTTGAATACTCAGCCTTAGCTTAGCTCTTTCCTTGCTGGCTCTTATAACTTAACCTGTTTCTCTTCATCTTCATTCTGCCTCTGGACTTTTTACCTCTTTTTTTCTCTGTATATCTTACTGTTCTGCTGTGTCTGGCTGGCTGCCTGAGTGTGTCTTCTGGCCCCGGGTGTGTATTTCCTTTCTCCTTGTCCTCTCCTCTCTTCTCTCTCATTCTTCTCGAGTTTAGATTTCTCCTGTTTATTCTCTCTGATCACCAGCAGTGCTTACTGCTCTCACGCCTAGCTACTGGCTGTTCAGCTTTTTATTAGAGCAATCTAACAAACATTAGGCAGGCAAGGTGAGACAGCAACATGTCTTTTCATAATTAAGTGGTGTGGGAGGTCCTTCTGTCTATGTGCTACTTTTATTGGTTAATGAATAAAGAACTGCTTTGAGCCTACGGCAAGGGCAGAACAGAACTAGGAAGGAAAATCTAGGCTGTATGCTGGGAGAAAGAGGGCAGAGTCAGGAAGACGCCATAGAGCCACCAGAGATAGACTGCTGAAACTTTGCTGGTCGGTCACCACCTCGTGGTGATGCACAGATTAATGGAGATGGGTTAAACTAAGATGTAAGAGCTAGCCAATAAGAAGCTAGAGCTAATAGGCCAAACAGTGATTTAATTAATACAGTTCCTGTATAATTATTTCAGGCCTAAGCTAGTCGGGCGGCCAGGAACCAACAAGCAGGCCTCCCTCCTACAATTAAGCACACATCCTTACATCATTAAACAAATGCAGCATAAGCAAATGTAACACACCTTTACCTATTTAAATACTCCACAGAACTTGAACATCTGTGGCAGAACTCATAATGGCCACCACATGTCTGCACTCATCATGCATAGACATAGAAGTGGCTGCCCTGAACTGTCTGGTACAAGGCAGCTCCTCACTATCCAAGCAGTCATGTGGTAGAGAATCCACCAATGGGATGTGTGTGAAGGGTAAGTTTGTCATTTGCAGAGCAATGCAATTAAGAAATGGGTGTATCTTTGCTTTCCCTTTCCATTATGAAAACAGTAGAATAGCAGGCGCTCCAGGATGGTCGAAGGAATCTCCTAGGTTACCAATGGTCTGAGTTGGTCTGCTAGCCAAGGAATTGAAAATAGGGGCTCAGACAGAATTGAAAAGCATTGAGATAACTTTATGCAGGGCAAACAAACAGTGCAGATTATAGAGGGACGTATCAGGACTGACAGCGGGCATAGGGGTAAGAGCTCTCAAGGACTCTACAGGGGTCAAGAGAATAACCTGGGTATTAAGGGCTATAATTTGTGTGGTACTCTGCTTTGATTGATAGATTTGGTCAAGTTTTTCCGAATTGTACCTGTTCTTTCCCATGATGCATCTGATTTGGTTGTGTGTGTGTGTGTGCGCGCGCGTGTGTGTGTAGCCATGGCTGTTCTAGAATTAGTTCTTAGACCAGGCTGGCCTGGAAGTCACAGAGATCTGCCTGCCTCTGCTTCCTGAGTGCTGGGATTAAGCTCCTATTTGATTTTTTTTAATTTACTAAACCAGTACACATGAGACAGAAGACCCCTGAGCACCAGTTTCTTCTGAATGCTGCCTCTGAAGTCTTAAGGGTTCTTCGAGACAGTGGCACCAGTTACCCCAGTGAACAGACTGGTACAGTCCTGAGAGTGAATTCTGACTCAGCTGGTAGACAAAGGAGATTGTTCAAGCTACCTTACAGGA